AAAAAAACACCTTATATTTGAAATCTTCTAATAGTTCTGTATACTCCTATTTACAATAAAACAAATCAGAACTTTTCTGAGACCCTGGTCCAATCATTGTTAATGGTTTTCAAATGCAAGATAACAAAATTTACAAAAGTACTTTACATAAAATTTCTTTCTAGTCAGATTCCATTTCAGGCAATGGCATTGATGGGAAATTAAGGAAAAGCTTTCAGGGGAAAAATACCAGAGATACATAACATTAATAAAAATTTAATTAATTATAATAAACGTGACATATAATTTGCATGAAACTTCAAAAATTTTCACAAGCAGTTCTTCAGTGATATAGAACTTCAAACCATCCAGTCTAAAAGGAATTCTGCTTTTAAAACAATGCAGTGTTACTCAATTCCTGAGAAAGAAATGCTATTACCAATAGCAGCCCAAGTCACCTTAATCTTTATTTTCTTTCTGATTAAGGGTACCTATGCATCCATTTATTTCAGAAAGAAAAAGAGAAGTTAGGGTATATTGAAAAGTATTTTTCACCTCAATGAATCCAATATAAGTTTACAAATCATATGTTATAAATTGACAAGTTCTACCTTCCAACTAATCATTTGTAAAAGTGGATTTATGGCAGTCTGATACACAACATGAAATTTTTGGGTCATAACTATCACAGAAAATCAGGTCAGACTTTTATAAAGAAGAGTAACTTTCCTAAACAGATCATTTATAGTTTATTTGTCCTCTACAGCACACAGAGAGAAACTATGCTAAAAAGTTAATTAAATCATACCAGTTAAGAGTTATAGTCAGCAAAACAACAAATTTGGTTAGCAATGGGTTACTGCAATGAGCAGCATGAATATTTCAATAAGCTCAGTAAGTTAATTTGTAGTTTGGTGGATGCAGAGAAAAGTAGTGCAAAATTAAAATCATATTAGAACCAATTGTGGGCAAAATCTCTTCAAGTGAAGGTTTAGACTTCCTGCAAAGTGGATGAAGTTAAAAAAAAAAAAAAGAAAAGAAAAAAGGATGTACTAAATATATTTAACTGCATACCCTTGCTGTCCTGTTCCAAATTTTTAGATTACTGAAAAATAATGTATATCCATAGGTAGTAATTTCTTGATTATTTAACATCAGTAAAAATGGAAGCAATTTTGATTACTATTGTGGAAATAATGAACTAGATTGAATGGAAGTAAAAGTCAGAACTTCCACAGGGCTTTTATTTTTATGTTAAGGTCCTTGACATGGGAATTCCCAAACTTACTTGGCTTCAGATACTGCAACATGGAATACTTACTAAAGTGGTGGCCAGGCACACAAGAGTTGTTACCCGTAGCATGGGGGAACAAAATAATTTCAAGTTTACAGTATAACTGAAGCCATGTGGATATAGATACTTACACTTCCAGTAAACTGCTCCTAACTAACAGATGCACTGAGTGTACAAAATATTAGGTATCGAAATCACCTCAAATTACTCATGTTAGCAAATACAACCTCTTATTGCATGACTGTGAAACAGGCATTTGATCCCCATTTTATAAATGTAAAAATGCAAGTTCAATTCTTTTCCTTCAAACCAAAGATTAGGCTTTTCTACTAGTGGCCCCAAAGACGGGAGAGGCCCTGGGTTTCACTTACTCTTCATTCAGGGCACACCGACGATTGGTGAGCGTGCCGTATTTCCTCAGCGTCTCGGTGAGCTCTGAGTAGAGTTGGTCAGCCAGAGGCAGCGGGATTCCTTCCCACACAAGGATGAGAATCACAATCACTGCTGCCTCACAGGTGTGCCCAGCTCGCTCCCGCACCAAACACAGTAGCTTCTCCTCACTGCAGCGTCTGCGAATCACCTGTACAGATCACCATTCCACCCCAAACACCCCCCACCCCAACCAAAACAAAACAAGGGTCACTTGCAGCAGATAAGAGCATCGAGTTATGTATGCATATTTTTTCATGTCTGGGTCACAGTTATGGCAATCTGCAATTTGCCTTTTGTTGCCCATCTGTAAAGCAGGGCCTTACCCTGGCGTCAGAAGAGGAAGAGATTCAAAACTACTCCTGAATGTTTAGCAGAGTACATCCAGTATAGTGGGGGCAATTAAAGGCCACTTGCACTAAAGCCAGAGCTAGATGAAAGACATACAGGTCTTAGACTAAGGTTTTTGTAAATGACAATATGAAAATTAAATGAAGGTATTTAAAGGATTAAAGACCACTTCCTCACATTCCAAGAAGTGCTTTTTAGCAGGCACTAAAATGGACCTCCTCCTCACCATTAAATTCTTTCAATTAAATAGTTTGTTAATTTTACTACTAATCTGCCTTCTTCTTAAGTGATAACACATGGTAAAATAAATATAGGCAATGTTCTTTTCAACTGGGATGACTCTTAGGTCTTGGTAACCGAAATCTTAGGATTACATTAATGAATCAAAATGCCCAAGATTGAAGACCAAAGGCCTTGTCAAGTCACACTTACCCATTTAGCAATAGGACATCCCTGAGAACTTTTGCCTTCTTTACCAGTATAGATGACTCTTTCAATCCTAATAGCTTTACCCTTCTGTCCAAACCTTAAAGAAACCCACAGAAACACACACACATACAATTAGCAAATGAATTCAAGAGCCAGTCAAAATATTTGAACATTTGAGCATAATTTTATTCTGACCACATCCTGAGAAATGAACAGTTCAATTTATTTTTTTAAAAAAAGGTCTAAGCCAAGCAAACTGGATAACAGTTTTTAAGCCTTATTTTTCTTCAGAATCAAAAAATGCTGATAATCGTAAATAACTATTTTGAAAATTATATGCTGGGTGAAAATAATGGGAAAGCTTATTTTTATATATAATTTCACAAAGCACAAAATTAAAGTTTGCTATAAAAAATACTATTTGATTTTTGTCCTTAACTAAATTTAGCTATTTTAAAACTTGGGGAGTCATAACAGATTTTAGTTAGAGCTGTTCCTCAAAGAATCTCTCACTTTTTTTTTAAAAGGGCTGGTAAATAATTAGTATTCGGCCATTTTGAAAATATAGGATAGTTCTAGAAATAGACTATATTTTTCCCATATGATCAAAATACCCCTTATTGCTTGCTTAAAAAAAAAAAGAGAGAGAGCTCTCAGGGAAATTCACTATTTCTTTTTTTTTTTTTCCTTTTTGTCTTTTTTCGTGACCGGCAACAGATCGCAACCCTCAGTGTCGCGCCTGTACCGGACTGGGACCGGCCACCGGATCGCAACCCTCGGTGTTGCTTCCGCACCTCGCTCAGCCAGTGAGCGGCCGGTCTGTATGTGGGATCCGAACCCTCGGCGGGAGTGCCGCTACGCTTCCCAAGCGGCGCACTGTAGCAGTGCGCCACCGGGCTGGCCCCAGGAAATTCACTGTTTCTGTCAGGCCACTAGATTTGATTATTTAGTGAATTCCTACATGCTAAATTAGAAATGAAAAATTTGGGAATGGAGCAAGAATGATACTGAACATGTCCCTGCTGCCCAAAGGTACCCTAATGTATTTTAATGCTAACACTGTCTACCTCTTAATGAAAAGGTACCATGGTAGAGTAACAGCTCCGAGCTGTAGATATGTATATGAAAGGACCTCTCTGCATTATGTCACTCATGATAGTCTTTTACATGCAGGAGTAACTGCAGATACAGGCAAATACTTGCATACCTGTGATTGACAGTTTTGAAAAAAAGGCAGCTATAAATAGAATCTGTCTCTATTTCTATTGAACTTATCACCTGCTCTGTTTGTAGTAAGAGAAAACCTCCTTAGAGATAACTACTCATTGACAGCACTAGGTGAATTTAACTCAGTGGTTCCTTTCTTACACCACACTTTTGCCCTTTCTTCTTCAACATTTTTATCATCGAGTGGGAAAGTCAGAGTGGGGCCTCTCTGCAGTCTGTGCCAGTGCCCTTGTGCCTGGCAGGCTGGCTGGACCATTCTTGTTTGTGCCTCGGTTTTCTGGCATCCATCTCAAAGTGGGCAGCCTGTGCCAGCTAGCAGACTATTAGTCCTGTCAAATATTGTGACTCTCTGGTGAATAGCACAGTGTGTAGTGTTGGAAACCTTGGAATACCTAAGCCTGCTAATAATTACTCGATTTACAATTGTTTACTGCTTTGTGTGTGAAGGCTGGAAAAATTCTGACATATACAAAAGGATAAACGTTAATCTGCCCTGTGCCTTTGAGTTAATTACCTTTCTTCCATGATTTCTCTAATAGCTGCCACATTAGGACCTGCTCCTAGATGGGTATAAAAAGGACCTTCATCTTTTTCAATAATTTGCTCTGTTGAGATAATAGAAGATTATTATTTTAGACCTCAATTATACTAAATATAAAGGCTACATCCACAAAGCTTATCCCCCAACTGCACATTAAGGGCCCTAAAAGTGACTTTAAAAATTTTTTTCTTTAAAATTAGTAAATTGATGGACTGATCTATTAGAAAATGTGCCAAATAAGTATATGTCATGCTGGCTGCTGGATAAAAATAAATTACATTTCAGATATAGGATAAGAAATTATTTATTTTAATCCAAGTAAATGGAAAGAAAACAGTGAGGGAATTAGAACGTATTATATGTAGTATAACTACAACCCAATTTTTTAGATGGAAAAAAATTTTTAAAGCTAACTACAAGCCTGCCTGCCACTTGGATGTTAAAAGATTAAAAATAAAATTTCCTGTCCTATCCCACCCCCAAAATATTGCTCGGTTTATTGTCAAGGATCACTTTTTCTCCTCATTTCCCCACAATACTTAATTACTCTGTTTAGAAAATAAAAATATTTAATCCAGACCTATACATATGCACTTTAGAGCAATTTATGAGAGAAAACTCTGGAGAGTCAGGAAAAAGGAAGGGGCTGTTGCAAACCCCCAAAGACGGAAAGTGGGAAGGGTTAGGGTCATAAGAGGAGGGAGTGAAGATGTATATAACTTACCTAATATTATCTATGATGTGTGGCACTTTAGCCCAGGCAGGCAACTTAATGACCACACACAAAGAGGGTGTAGGTCCTCTCTCCACCTCCTTCAAAGTGTGGGGCATCACATTGTGAGAGGGACAGCATGGGGTGGGTGGGCCATTAGCCACACTAATTTAATTTAACATTTGTTTTTTCAAATGTCTTCTACTATAGCCATACTGAGTAGCTGTAATTAAGATCTTCTCCTCTACCCACATATATATCTGCATCCACCAACAAAAATGTTTCCTTATTCTTAAATATCTATCATAAATCCTGAATTTTAATAAAAAATGTTTGTTTAAACAGAAGTGGAACTTTAGAGAAAATGGATCAAAATAAATAAAAATCACAATGTTTCAAGTGCATAAATGGAGAAAGGCAGTACTGAGAGACTCAGCATTATAATTTCCCCAACTCACCAAGACTGAAGACAATAATTTCCCCACTATGCAGAAATCTTGTAAAATTACTAATACGTTAAACCTTGGATTAAAAAAATATATATATTCAAAGTTCCTACGTTAATTTTCATATGGCAGTTACTTTCCCATTTTAAAAGATTTTTTTTACTGCCTGCTTTTCTGTCTAGGAGATGATATAAGAGTTAAATAGATGGATTAATTTAAAACAGATACATTTGAATTTTAAAGGGTCTGAATAGAGGAAAAACTAAACATGGACAATTGTTTAAATTTTTTGGAAAAATTGCATGTAAGTGAGGTTCTCTCTTGCTCAGCACAAGCATCTATAATTTAAAGACAAAAAAATGTAAACTTCAGATTTTTATGAGCCTTTACAAATGGCTGTCAGACTTAAAATTTAAAAAAAGGAAGATTCCATATGAAGATAAATTTGCTAATTCTGGATAAACACCATGTGTCTCAGTACATTTCTGGCACTTACCTACACATCTGCATGATGGGAAATCATACTGAGTCTTGACAGGTGTATCCAATAAATTTTTTATAGGCGTATCTAGTAATTTTGAAGGTGACTCTAAAAAAGTATTGAGAACAGAACCAGCTGTTCTTTTGGTTGGTGTCTTTTCTGAAGAAGTTGCTTGCTGCTCTAAAGCTGGGGTGTGGCTATCAAGTTCTGCAGCAGTGGTTTGTCTAGTTAAAACTGTGACTGGCCCTGACATTTCAACTTTTACTTGCTTCTGTGATTTGAGAGTTAGAGCCTTATGGTCAAACAATGATTTGACCTGAAACTGCTTCAGATGCTGCTCCATGGTCTCAATGATGCTCCTCTGCTGCACATTATCACAGCTTGGAGGTGGAATCTCTTGCTTAGTTATCTTTTTCCATGTTTTGTTTTCTGGCTGTGCTGACATGGGGCGCATACAGGCATGCAGCTTGGATCCAGGTTCAACCTTAATTGGCCTGTGCATCTGATTATGGCAAGAGTCAATTTGGGGTTGCTGTGCTTGCTGTTCTTGCTTCTGTAAGAGATGCCACCTTAGAGCAGCATGCTTTTGAAGGTCCTTCTGGGGAGGAGTCTGAATGTGACTTCCTCCCTGGTCAGGCGCAGAGAAAGCATTTGCTTGGTTGTGCGTCAAGTACCTTTGCTGAGCGAGTTGTGTGGCTTGTTGACTAGACATATCTTGGTTTCTACTTTTATATCCCTGTAGAACTGAAGCTTGTTGAGGCTTCTGCTCTTGTTCTTGAAAGCACCTATGAAGAACATCTTGTTTTTGGGTCACATTATTTGGAAAATATTGCAAGTTTTGGGTCTTGTTTCTTGCAAATTGAAGCTTGTTGAGGCTTCTGCTCTTGTTCTTGAAAGCACCTATGAAGAACTTCTTGTTTTTGGGTCACATTATTTGGAAAATATTGCAAGTTTTGGGTCTTGTTTCTTGCAAAGAGTTCAGAATGTACAGTCTGTTCTTTATTCTCTGGAACTAGGTGTGTATTGTTTGAACAAGAAATGTGTACTTTGCTTGCACTTGATTTCAAGATCTGACCATAAGGGGAATTTTTACTGTTCATAGTCTGTTCTTGCTCCAACCCCATTTGGGTATTATGAGTCTGGAACCCACTTGATTTTGAATACTGTTTTTCAACATGAAAGCATTCTTCTACTTTAATCTGGCCAAAGAATGATCCTTCTGTTTGCTGACCATTGTTGCCATGGGGATGAGTAAAAGTTTGGGGCATTTGTTCTTTATGCTTCATTTGCAATTTTTGCTGCTGCTGGTTTTGAGGGAGATGTGAATTCTGGGATGGTTGTGTTTGTGCTGCCTGTTTATGAGGCTTATGTTGCAAAAGGTGTGAGTTTGAACATGGCTCAGTTTCTGAAGCCTGTTGATTCAAGTGCTGTTTTAACAATGGGGACATGAGTTTCTCAGTTTGAGGATCTCCTTTTTGTTGAAAATGAAATCTAGGGGTACACAGTGACTGTACATGAGCTTCTGGTGAAGGGTCTGTCTTGAAGTGCACCTGGTGTGAGGGTTTTAGGAACTGGAGATGTTGGTCCATTGTACCTTGAGACTGCCCTTGATTCATCTCAACTTGGTACATTTGTGACTTCTGCTCCAGCTGCATTGTTCTCTGGATGTAAGCCTGCCTTGGGATCCCCCCAGGCACGTTGGAATTTCCAGTGTATTGTTTGGAGGTCATTTGATTGGAGGGGTTGGGCTGATACTGAAGAACTGATCGCAGTGACATCTCATTACATTTTGGATGGGCTTCTGCCTGATGAAAATGAGGGGCTTTCAATTCAATCCAACCTGGTTTGAGATAGTGCTGTGTTGGGAGCACAACATCTCGTGTTTGTTCCTTGTTTTTACCCTTCAGAATCTTCTGCTCTTTGTCTCCCATCAACTGCCGGCAGTGGTCCTGTAGATCTCCACTGCTACCAAAAACTGGTGGATTATGCTTGAGATGTTCTGATATTGGTCTTGGAACAGCCATTGTCCCTGGAGTCTGTACGTCATTCTTGTTAACACAATTATTCTGAGGCCTTTCTGGAAGCATCAGAGAAAGGTTGGATACAAATATACGTGGATTAGGATTCGGGGATGGTGATGCTTCAGGCTGACCCTCTACTTCCACTTCCCTTAAAAGAGCTGTGTGACTTTGGTTGGAGTAGTGATGCTTTTCTTCCAAACCTCCATCATTCAGAGTGCTTTTTCCTTCTGAAGGAAGCTGAGGAACCTGTGGAAGAGGAGGAAGGGGAGAAAGAAGCAATCGTGATGGTGGTGGTGTGGTAGTGGCAGAAAAGGAATCCTTAGTGAACACTGAGTTTTGCTTGAAGTAAGCACCATTCATTTCGTTTTGTTTTAAATACCGTTCAGAGCTGCCATCAAGAGCTTGCAAATTGCTGCTGGAACCTGAACAAAATTCTTCACCAGATACTAGCTTTGTGGTTCCTTGGATGTTACTGTTTTCTACAGGAGATGAGCATATCTCAAAAACTGATGCTTGTTGTTGTAGTTGTTCTGGTTTCTGAAAGGAACAGGTCCCTAGCATTGCAGCTGGTTTACTGGCATTATCAACGTCACAGGCCTCAGTCACCACTGCAGCTGGCTCTGGAGGCAGCTCGGAGCTTGAGGTCTGAGTGGAATTGATCTGCCCTGAGGTATGTGATGCGTGAGTGATCTCACAGGACAACTTATTAGTAGCCTGACTGTTAATGGCATTTACTTGAGATGTGGTTTTCTGCACCGCAATGGAAACACAATCTGGATAATATTGAGACAGTGTTTTTTCCAGGAGTTCACCATGTGTGTTTTCCATGGAAGAGGCAGAAACTATAGCACCATTAGGCATTAGCGCTGCCTTATTTTTAAGAAGTAATACAATGTTCTTGTCGTGGTAGTTAGCAATTTTCCCCTCCTGCTCATTCGGAATCTGAAGCTCTAGATTTTCAAACCCACTGCAGTTGTGTGTTGAAAAATTGGTGAAATTTTTAACTGCATTTTCTTGGGCTACAGTGCTCACAGATTCTCTCTTATCACTCAAAGCGGAGACATTTGGTTGACTGCTGCTTTCATCTGGATTTCTTTCTTGTCTTTCCCCGAAGTTCTTTCTTTCTCCATTAGCTTTTTGGTCTTGTTTCAATTTCTTGTCCTGATGGAGCCCAGAGAGAGAAGGTTCACTCACTGTGCGTTTTATTCCTCCATTTTGCAGACACTTGGAATACCCTCTACCATCTTGTATAAAGTCGGGACTCACACGGCTAAGCTGGCTTCCCTTCATATGGGGTATTCCATAACAACTTTTGAAACACTGCCACTTGGTGTCTCCATTTACTTCTGGATGAGGTCTCTCAGTTAATGGGCTTCCATTCTGGAGCTTTAGAGCCAGAGGTTCTGTCTGGCAAACGGGAGAAGGAGATGGTATCAGGAATGGACTTAGTCTGTTGCCTTCAACATGGTTGGTTCTATCCTGTTCCATCAGGCTTACTTCGGGGCCATCCACAAGGCTGCCCTTTGAATGAATTCTAAAGAGCATAAAAATTAAAATGTATTAATATATCTAAAATTAATATACATCTTACAGAATAATTGTGGCATAAATAATAATGAAATACCTAGACATAGCTGTAATACTCATTTTCATGTTTCATAGTGACAACAAATAGCTACTCAAGAAATAATTGTTCTTTCTTCACATCAACTCTCAAATATTTATGGTCATGGAGAACAAGGATGATCAAAATCACCAGCTAATGTGAAGGTTCATACTGTGTTACTAACTTGTACCATTTTCCTTCCTAGATAATTCTTTTTTGTCAAAATGTCAAGAGAGAAAAATTACCTTTCCTACATCAACTCTCAAATATTTATGGTCATGGAGAACAAGGATGATCAAAATCACCAGCTAATGTGAAGGTTCATACTGTGTTACTAACTTGTATCATTTTCCTTCCTAGATAATTCTTTTTTGTCAAAATGTCAAGAGAGAAAAATTACCTTTCCTTTTTCTTTAGCACTTAGTTGATCCAATCACTTGCTAAGTTCTATTCTACTTCCTATATATTCCTTGAACCATCTTTACTGCCACTTTATAGCTCAGATTTACATCACCTTTTCTCACGATCTATTGCAGTAGCTTTTTAAAACGATTTCTGCCCTGTCCCTCTGGCCCTTCAAGACTTCCTTCAATTTGTTATCAGAGGGAATGTTTTAAAATACAAATCTGATGTCATACCCTCATTAACACACTTTATAGGCCCTGCCTTGCTTGCATCAGTTGTTCTCAAACTCTTTTACACTAACACACCCGAGAGATAAGGCACACTCCTTTCAGTCTTATCACTATCCCAGGGGATGGGACAGGGGGGAAAAGTGTAGTTGATAAAATGTCCTTTCTAGGTGATTCAATGTTTCCCTCTACAGAGGCTGGCTGCCCACTTCTATTAAGAATTTCTACCTAATATACATGGTTTTTCATATATATAGATTTCTATTTTCCTCTTCTACTCCCTCTCACAGTTTACAACAACACAATAACATGAGCTTATAAATACCTAAACATGGTAAGCTGTTTGAGAACTCCATGCTTTTGTTGTTCTGTCTGCTTAGGATGCCTTCTTAATTCCCTTAGAATTCATCAGTCCCATTTCTATCTTCTTCTATATCTCGTATATGGTCTATTACTGAACATATCACTCTTAATTGTACTTTGTTTACTCTCCCGCCATACTGTGAACTCCTTAATGGAGCCTCTACTTTGTTCTTTTTTTTTTTTTTTTTTTTTTTTTTTTTTTTTTTGCAGGGGGCAGGCTGGCCAGTTTGGGGATTCAACCTGTAACCTTGTTATTACAGGGCTGTGAGTTTTGTTGAAAATGAAATCTAACTAGCTGAACTAACCAGCCAGCCCTCTACTTTGTTCATTTTTTATGTATGCAATAGAGTGAGCATCCAATAAGTTTTGCTGCATTGATACAAATTTGCTCATCTTATAATCATTTCATCATCATTCATTCAAACATTTTTGAGACCAGTACTGATGAAGTCCATATAATAGGGAAAGCTGGGGGAAATGAGCACTAAAAAATAATCCACTGTATAAGATGATTGCTTCCCCATTCATGCTTTGTTTTCCCACAGTTTTTCTCATTACATTTTTTTAAAGGATGTAAATAGAAAGAAATCAAGACTATTTTTTCTTTGGCATAAGAAATTCTCTGTTAAGATAGCCATTGTTAACTTATCAAATGAAACAGAGAAAGAAATAAGATATAAACATTGAGAAGCAGCAAAAGTTATCATTATTTGCCCACAATGAGTGTATACTGGTCCACCAAGAGAATCAACTGAAAAACTGAAGAAAAAGTCATAGCCTCGAAATACAAAAGCAACAACCAATTAAAGCTTTACTGGGAATAAACTTACCCCAAAATGTGTTAGACCTAATTAAATAAACTTAAAAAATAAAACTGTGGAAAACACAAGAACAAAACAAGCAGACAGCTATAAGATGTTCTTGGATAGTTGTCAAATTAATCTGTCATATAATGTACTCTCAATAAAAACTCTAGCAAAACATTTTGAGGAATGAAAGAAGTTGACTCTAAAGTTCATGTGGAAAAATAAAAAGTTGGGTAGCCAGTAACAACATGAAAAAGAATTGTAAGGGGCCTGGGTGGGGCAGTAAGGCAAATTAAGAGATGCTAAAAAGCAACAAGTGCTACTATACTAAAACAGTTTGTGCTTGCACATCATAGACAACACAGTATTAGTAAGATCAATGGAATAAAATACAATGTCCAGAAACAGATCAAAACATACACAGAAAAATGGTATTAGAGAATTACGGCATTTCAAATAAATATATGGTATTGGAGTGGGTAGTCTTGAAAAAATGATAAAGTTGGATTCATCCCTTACACCTTATACCAAGATAAATTCTAGATAAATTCAGTAGTTGATTATAGAAAACAAAACCCTAAGAAACATTAAAAACAGTTTGAAAAAACTTTTTTAAAAAATGGGTAAGTTCTTTCTCTGTGACACAAAATGTAGACGCCATAAAAGATGGGAAAGTTCACTAAAATTTATTTGCAAAAATAAGCCTGTAAGCAAAGTAAAAAGTCAGGTAAAACTTTTCTTAATACACAGGACTCCTACAAATTGACGAGAAAAACAACTACCTAGTAGAAAAATGGGCAAAGCACATGGACAATGAACAGAAAATGAAATTCAAATGGCTCTTAAATATTTAAAAAGATGTCCAGTACCACTCATAAAAAGAAATGCAAATTAAAACTGCAACAAGCTACAGTTTTTCCTTCCCTTCTCAAATTGGCAGAGATCAAAGTTTAATATGCTATGTTGGCTACCACGTGAGGGAATAGATGCTCTTTTGCACGGTTTTCGGGAGTCAAAACTGATATAAATACCAAGTAGGAAAATCTGGCAATATCTACAATATTTCAGAAAAACCTTCTTTGACCCTTCACTTTTAAGAATTTATTCAATAATACACCAAGGTCAAGGGTTTGGGTCCTCTCACAGGCTAGCTGTCCAGAAAAGAATTTATCCAACAAATATGCTCATATATTCGAGAGTACTTCAAAAAGCTTGTAGAAAAACTGAACAGTACTGACATGTACACATGTGTGTATATTTATGAGTATATATTTATATAAAACCTATAGGTTCTGGGCTGGCCAGTTTAGCTCAGTTGGTTAGAGCTCAGCCTTGTTAAGACCAAGGTCAAGGGTTCAGTTCTCTGCACTCGCTAGCCACCAAAACAAAAAGAAAAACAAAAAACCAAAACAAACTTGTAGATTCTGTATACGATTCATGTCGTCCTACTTAATTTTCTAGGTATAGAACAGTTTAAGCATTTAATACATTATTCTCAGTTATGATTCATTCCACATAATTTTGGACATTCTTTAAAGTGTCAAGGGCAAAATTACAATAGATGGGGTTTACAAATCCTTTATGAGCATAATAATAGCTCCTGAGAAGAACTGAAGGTGAAATTTTAAGCACAATAGCCATTTTTAAACAGTAATTTAAATTTATCAACAAAACTATTCTGTCTGTGACAGCAATTCCCTTCCTGTGGAGAACCTTTGGATGTGAAAAGTTTAATAGCTAACTTTTTCAAGAAGGGCAGGAAAATTATACTTTTCTGTTTTAGGATAAGGATAATTTGTTATTTGAGAACTTTTTGTTATTGGCCTATGAATCTGATTCAGAAAATTTAAATCAATAAACTATTTTAGAGGGAGAATAAGGCAGTATTTTTTTTTAACTTCAATAGGTCCTAAAACACTTTCTGTAGACAGGCAGAAGAACCAGAGACCTAAGTAGAAACATATATATCAGTTGTCATCAAGTACAGAGGAGACCATATGAAAAACTCAATGAAGTGCAATTAAATCAAAAACAAAAAACTAGCAACATTCAACAAATGACTTATGGAAACTTTTCTGATTATGAATCCTTAACCTGGGAAAAGACATGGTATGTTTATCTGCTACTATGACAGTGATCTTTGCTAATCAAATTGTAATACATAGCTCAGTATTCAAATCACACACACACACAAACACACACAGCTTTTGATTGTGTGATACAGCATGAGGTTTCATTATAGGTTTACCATAAAGGCAACAAGTTGAATTAAACTTGAAGAATGAACAAAATGTAGCATTCAAATTACAAAACCAGCTTTGACATTTTAAAAATGACAATGATTAGTTACATCACAATTAAAGAAAAATGTCATAATTTAGATTCCACTTGCCATTCTAATAGTGTAATATTCTTCATAAAGCATGGCCTTCTAAAGAACCAAAAAAAGTAGTTCTATGTACTATAAATACCACCAATTGTTTTTGGAAATTCTATAGGTCAAATTATAACCAGGCAATTTAACATAAACAAGAATGTGCAATAATTATCTATTGCCACTCCGTAATTTCAGCTAATGCCCAAGAATGATTTTTCATAAGCTCTGAAAAAGAGATATTTTGACTGAGATCCCAATTATGTCAACCTTTACATTCTACATTAGAGGTACACATTCATGAAGCAGATTTATCTCAGTTGAAAATACTGGCTCATTGACTAGGAGCTAACCTTTTGGTTTCATAAAACCAAAACAGGTTTTAGCCACAGCAGTTTTCCTCTGATACTTGATTTTGCACTTCTCCCGCCTCTGACAATAATTTATTATAAATTCAACTTGCATCGGCAGCATCTGTGAAACAATTACTGCATCTAGAACTGACTCTGCAGTCTAATCCATCATAATTATGACAGGCCTCTTTGATGATGCTATGATGCATGACTTAAAAATAGCACATTAGTGTGCAAATGGATCAGCATCTCATTTCACTGATATGCATTTAGGGTTGTAATTTAGCTCAACACCATTTGACTCCTTTTGACTCATTCAAGAATGGCAGTTGTATCTTTTACCACGTAAAGCTATAGATGATTCTCAAAATTTGGGAAAAGGGCTT